GACGGACGGAGAAAGGACGGACGGAGAGAGAGGACGGGAGGAAGACGAGAGGGAGGAGGAGGGAGGAAGAAGAGAGGGAGGAGGAGGAAAGGAAGAAGAGAGGGAGGAGGAGGAGGGGAAGGAGAGGAGGAGAACACAGGTTGACTCATGGAGTCCTGTAGATCGAGCGAAGTCTATGGAAGCTGCGGCACTTGCAGGCAACGCGCCCTACCTCCTGCTCACTCCCTCCCCTTCCTCCTGCTGTCCCCTCCTCCCCTGCCCTCACGTCCTGTCCTCCTGCAGGTCAAGAACGAGCTTGTCGACGCCAAGTCCGACTTCATCGTGGTGGACGACACGTCAATCTGCACCCATACAGGTTCCCTCCCTCCTTCTCCTTCCCCACTCATGCTCAACAGGAGCGAAGCTAGGAACCCAGGCCTTCCTCGTCCTGCCTGACAGGTGCTCTCCTCCCCTCGCTCGTCCTTCCACTCCCTCTTACGCTGCTTGTAGGAGCCTCGTCCTCTACCACGTGGCTGAGAAGCTGAGGAGAGAGACAACCGCCCCGTCCTCTCCTCCTCTCCCGTGGCTCCACACCTAGCGGGAAGGAGAGAGCTGGAGAGGAGCTGGGGGGAGGAGGGAGATAGCGAGAGGGGGGGGGGAGGAACAAAGAGGGGAGGGAGAGCAAGGTGGGTTAGATTTACTCGTGCAAGAAGACAGCACACGGCCATCCCCTCGCTCCCTCAGCTACTGTCATGTGCTCCCTTGACGCGGGGATATCAACATGGAATCTCCTCCCTCCTGCTCGCAGGTCAGCTATGCCCTCTACCAGCCGTCTCCTGTCCCTTACCTGGTCCTGCCCTTCGCCTCCCATGCCGCCCTCCCGATCGTCCTAGTGGCAAGAGGAATGAGAAGAGCAGGAGAGGAGGAGGAGGAGTTAGGGAAGAGAGGGAGAAGCATAAGGAATCAGGGGAGAAGGAGAGGAGGAGCAAGAAAGGAGCTATTCGTCACCTCGTCAGGCCAGGAAGGAATGGTAGGGTGATAGTGCTGCTTGCACTCCTCATACATCATCTGCCACATACTTCACATCCTGCTCCCGCTCCCGCCCCCGCCCCCGCCCCCGCCCCCGCCCCTGCCCCTGCTCCTGCTCACCTTCTTAAGCTGGTTGCGAGTCTGACGCGACTGGTCGGAGACGCCCACCTCCTGCGGCCTTCCGTCAGCAAGAAGCTCAAGGGACGAGGACACGGAAAGGATGAGAACCCGGGGAAGAGGGGGGATGGAGATGGCGAGGCAGGACGAGGACGAGGACGAGGAGCCTCACCCAGTCGAAGTTGAGAGGATGTTCAGCTCTTGGCTCGTCGTTCTCGTCGTGCAGTGAAGACAAAAAGTTGCATGCGAGTGCCTGCTCGACTGCGAGGACGAGGAGAGTCACGAACAGGAGAAGGGGAAGAGGAGGGGAATGCAGGAGAGGAGGTGGGAAAACGAGAGCGAGGTAAGGAGCACTGGCAGCTTGAGGGATAAGCAGACGAGCGGAAAAGAAGGTCAATCGAAGTAGTAGGAGGAGGAGCAAGAGAGGAACGAGGCTGCACCAGTGAAGCGACGATCCGGATCGAAGGTGAGCAGCATCTCCAGCAGCTCGATAGCAGGAGCCGAGGCAGCGCTGCGGGCACGTTACTTGAAGCCCAACGGTCGCGTTAAAAGTCTACGTGTAGATCATCTTGAAATCTTTCTTCGGACGAGGAAGCAGGTTCTGCAGGGATAGTGAGCAGACGATGGAGAAGAAAGGGGTGGAGACAGGAGGAAACGGAAGAGATTAATGAAGAGGAGTTGGGGAGTGAAGGAGCAGGCAAGGGAGCGGGGAGAGCTCAAAGTTGAGAACAACATGTTGGAGAAGATAAGTGCAAGGAGGAGGAGGAGGAGGAGGAGGAGGAGGACGACGACGACGACGAGGTGGTGGTGGTGGTGGTGGTGGTGAGCACCTCCAAGTATTGTTTCGCCCTCTCCGACGTCACTCCGACAAGATCCTTTCGCATCGTCTCTCAGCTTCCCGCGTGCTAGCAGAACCTCTCACCTCCGACGTTGGTGTCCCCAAAATGTTACAGATCAGTTCGATCTGTCATCAGCCGCTCAGTCATGCCCGTGCCTCCTCGCCCCCTCCTCTCCTCACGACAACCCACCTGGTGCTTGAAATTCTTCCCTGGGAAGATAGGTTTCCGGCCCAGCAGTTCTGTCGAGCAACTTCAGACTAGACATACAGGCTGGGGAGCAGCTGGGAAAAGGGAGCTCGACCTGCTAGAATGCATCCAACGCTCCACATGTCCAACGCCTGCCGGGCAGTCAGACCTGCCGAGCAGCCGCAGACTCCTCCCACCTTCGAATATCTACACCAAGACACCAGCACCTCGGGAGCTCGGTACCACCTCGTCGCCACGTACTCGGTGAGGAAGGAAGACTGAGGGTCGAGAGCGTCAGCTTCGCTTGCAACATGCACCTTCATGTACCTGGTCGTCAGCTGGACCGAGAGCTCGGGCCAGACCGAAGTCACAGATCTTGAGGTCACAGTTGCTGTCGACCATGCTGGTGAGCGATTGAAAGGCAAAGATCGACGTCAGACCTGTTCACTAGCAGATTGCTGGGTTTCAAATCTCGATGGACCTGTCGAACGGGTGAGGATGTACTTACTCAACGCACATTGAAATCCAGCATGTGATGGGCAGCGACAAATCTTACCACGTCAAGGCTATGTATATATTTCATTCCTCGCAGTATCTACGCTCAAGTTAGAATTTCAACAAGTCGATACGGCATGATGTAACCTGATACATAAAATATTGCACATGATCGTCACTAAGCGGTTGAGGTGAGGTAATTATCTGGTGAAGATCTATAGGCAGCATGAGAAGGCCGAGGAGTCAAATGGCAAGCTTCACCGGTATCCATCAATTCCGAAATTACATAAACATCGTTGAAGGAGACAAAATCCTGAAATTCAGCGTCAGATTCAGACCGGTGAGAGGAGATCGTTGGTAGGTGTTACCACAGGTGGCAAAATATCTTCAATCGAGATGACATTCTCATGCTTTATCATTCGCAAGAGCTGCAAGACATCTCAATCATCGACACTGAGCTTGATTTGTCTGAGAATACCTTCGCTTCTCGTAGAGTGCGCTTTGTATCAATGACATGTTCAAACGCATTCGCGATCTTTTTGATGGCAACATTCTTTCCTGTTCGTTGGTTGGTTGCAGAACTAGACAACAAGTGAGCGATTAAGGTCAACACTGACTGATTGAAAACATACCAAACTATGCCATAGGCGCCTTGCCCGATTGGTTTGATAACGGAGTAGTAATCAGGTAATACAAATCTGAAGAGCTCGTGAGAGGGAGACTGACAGGGAACGATTTCGCAATACCTTGATCCACATACTGAAAACTGCTTCCACGAGAATGGCATGTCGATGGCCGGTCTGGACAGCGCTGCTTGTTGCGCGTTCTGCGAAAATGTCATCAACACCATCGTGTGACAGCGCTGGTGAAATAGTTTTGAATGGCGTGCCGGATTATGAGAGTAGAAATGAATTCCATTTCTAAGAGGATAAGAAGCTGATTCGCTGATTCATGAGAATGCACTTCATGAAACTATCCTAGCCCAGGATGGAGGAGGGATGGATCTACGTACTGTACGCGATTCAACACCAGACATCGCTAAACTGTTGTCATTCAAGCAACAAGAAACCAACGATAGAAACAAGAGGTATAAAGATGCTCATTGGGGTTTGCATAATCTCACTGGATAGCTGCAAATCAGTTGCAACCATATCAAGCAGCTCATATTGTCAGGGTACAAGAAAAAGTATTCAAGGATCAACGGTATGAGGTTTGGATAAACAAGGGGAGAACCAAAGTACAGTCATGAAGCTGTACATGGTATACATATATACACTCTATCAGAAAACATCCACAACACCAAAAATTTCCCAAGTTACATCCTCTTTGAGATCAGAAAGAAAGCCAAATCAACCAAAAGAAGGAAATTAGATGGACAATGTGAACGCTGCTTCCAGACATCACGAACGATGCTACATTGAACCAGGATAAGTCTTTCCTTTCTGCATTTCTTCCATGATATCGTGTCTGTCTCCTCCTTTCACAATGCTAAAGATCTTCCTCCTCTTCCTCCTGCTCCCCCAAACATCCCCGGGTGCCTCAGCCATCTTGACTGGCCCTAATCTACCCTCCCACCCTTCACCACTGGAACCTCTCTGCTTCCCACTCAACCTCGGTCACTGTGCATATTCTGATCGCCTCCTCTTCCTCGCAGTGCTCTCTCTCCCCTCCTCCTCCTCCTCCTCCTCCTCCTCCTCCTCCTCCTCCTCCTCCTCCTCCTCCTCCTCCTCCTC